CCCCAGAGTCAGGGCCCTTTCTGCTCCTCACCCCACCCCACCAGCAAGCAGGCTGGGGGGCACAAGAAGCTGGGAGGGGGTACAGCCAGGACCAGCTGACCCCAACTGACTTGAGGGGTATTCCATGCCATATGATGTCATGCTCAGCTGGGGGAAGAAGAAGGAAGGGGGGACATTCAGAGTGATTGCATTTGTCTTCCCGAGTAACCATTACACATGACGGAGCCCTGCTTTCCTGGAGACAGCTGAGCACCTGCCTGCCCATGGGACATAGGGAATGAATTCCTTGTTTTGCTTGCGTGTGCGGCTTTTGCTTTACCTATTAAACTGTCTTTATCTCAGCCCATAAGTTTTTTCACTTTTACTCTTTTGATTCTCTCCCCCATCCCAGCGGGGGGAAGGGTGAGCGAGTGGCTGCATGGTGCTTAGTTGCTGGCTGGGGTTAAACCACAGCAATGATGATGGTTCATCTCAGTTCAACTGCTGTTACTACATGTACAGAAAAGTAATGCTGGTATTTACAACAAGTTTCAGCTTATGTGCTAAAGTGAATAAACACAGAAGAATGGAGCAAAAAATGAAGAGAGTAAAGTCCTAATAACATGACTGCTGGAAATCACGACTGATCATTCTGTAGCCTTACTTGGAATACCATTCTCCAAGACTGTATTTGTCCAAGGTCATTGGGAAGGAATATCGTTCACCTATACAGTGTGGGAGTGTTAAGTTTTGGAATACCATATTACAGGCAACACAGAGTTCCAGAATGGTGAACAAATAGTTGAACTTTGGAAGGAACTGGAACAAATATGTTCTTGTTTATGGAGAGATGGGCAGCACCTAGATACAATGCAATCTAGATAGTATCAATTTAGATACAAATGTGAAGAAGGAAAAATAGATTTAAGCTTTCTCAGTCCAGGGGCAGAAGTATGGAGCACTTGTGGGACTGAGGAAAATGATACGCTTAGGCATTGCTTGCCCTGGTGTGAAATAACAGGTGCATAGGAAAATCTTCACTAGCTACACTCTGAAGATGAGTGATCACGATCCAGCAATACCTACTGCAAGTTTAGTCTCACAACTTTGCTCTTGCTTCTCTTGGGAGACTGATACACTGTTGTTATTTGCAGTGCACAGTAATATTTTTATTGTCTTCCTCAGAACATGCTTGGCCTTTTTGATTCAAAGCTTTATTTTTTATCACTTTCTTGAATATTTTGATCAGCATTCATGTAAGCCAAGTATATAATAAAACTGGGGGGTTTATTATTTCTTACATAACAGGCCTTCCTATGTTTCTCATTTAGGACATTATCTTCAGAGCTGTTATTAGATACAGTTTTCAATCAGTCTCTTCTGTCAGTAGATATCTAGAGTTAAACACCATTTATTCTGCAATAGCATGGATGGAATTACTACGCAATTTAGCATTATTTCTAAAAGAAAATTAAATTATAAGAATGACAGTGAATAAGAAAATCAGGTATACTAGCAAAAAAGAATAAACCGCATGGGAAAAACAACACAAAGCGAGGTGTGACCCAGGAATATTCATTTTCATATATAGAATAGCTAAAAAGAAAGGTATTCAAATAACTAAGTAACTTACTCTAGCATAGATTTTTTAATAGATTATACCAGTTACAAGGAACACTGCCACAGACATTTGTGTCTGAATTTTTAGTATTTGTTTTATCAATGCCAGTTATGACTAAGCTGATGTATTGTAGTCATATGACATTTTGGGGGAGATGGCCATGAAGTACAACTGGCTGAATTTTTTCAGGTGGAAACATTTCCTGTGAGAAATACCCGAGTCTGCCCAAAATTGGTATTAAAAGTAAAATTAACACTCTTGCTTCTTTTCTGTTAAAGGTATAATTTTCATTGTCCTCTGCTCCTTTCATCAACATTATAAATACATAAATGTTACTTCTTTTCACTAGGAAAAGGGGCAAAAGAGACTTTAGAAAGTAGGTTTTGAGGGGAGATAAAAAAACTACTTTTAGAGTTTCTCTGCTCCTAGGTGGAAATATTGAGGTGCAGAAGGAGAGAAATTAAACCACATGTACAAAATAAACCACCCCCAAAAAACCAGAAAAAATCATATGAATATTTGGAATTAAAATGAATAATTTTATTTCATTTAAAAAGTAAAACTTTTTTAATGAGCATATTGCACCTTTGTAATAATTACTCTTATTTTCCTTAAAGAAAATAACTCCTCCCTTAACCTTATTTCTCTAAAAAAGCCCCAAAGACTTTAAAAACAACCCTGTGTATGCTTATACCTTCCAACATACTGTTCCACATATGAGAAGCAACCATCAGATTATTGCAGTATGCCTACATACCACACAGACCTTTACAGAATATGTAACCTCACAGATGTTCACTTCTACATACTTTCTCTTTAATCCACCAGGTCCCTTTTTCTTTTAAAGTTTTCACATACCTTAAGTTGTAGATTGCTGCTAGCACCTTGTTTTCCTGCGCTTCTTTCACGTTCAGGTGCTTGAGGTAGGACTGGAAGGGCCTTAACTCATCAGGTCTCTTAAGCACATTTCTTCTTTCACACACGCAAATAGCCCCAGGTGCTGAATAGGAATGAAATAAAACATAAGTGGAATGAAACTCTCAGCACATATGTCTCCATTCTGTGGACCAGGGATTTTCTGTACAGAATTACAGACTTAATATGGAGAGAACTTACTTCT